TGCTTCTGATGCTTAGCGGCAGCCGCCTTGTCAGCAGCTTCGCGCTTCTGTGCCCGTTTTGCACGCCGGCCCACTAGTTCTTTATTAGGGCTGTCTTTCTTCGGCTCCTTGGGCTGACGAGATGGGCCAGCATCTGGGTCTTGAGCAAACAGGTGACGGACGGGCCTTGCTTCTTGTCTGCCCGCCCTAACGAATCCATTGTCCCCCCAACGGCGATTACCTATTCGGATGGTCGAGGAACTCGAAAAATAAAATTCAGCTAGATCATCTTCATCCTCTTCATAATAATACCAATCTTCTATTTTGTCCAGCTCCTCCTTTTCGACTTCAACCAGAGGCTTAAACCATGAAGCTCTCAGGAGAAGGCACACACTCTCCTCAAACATGTAATCGTAAATGCTGCATCAAAGAACAAATCTAAATAAATGCTGCAACTATTAATGATCATATCGAATCATACATCATAGCAGTAAACTGATGGGTGGAAATTGTCGGGATAGACCGAGTTCGTAGAATATATACAACTGTACTCATACTAACACAATGGCTAGTTTATTCCTTCTTCCTTTATCTACAGGTATCTATAATACTCCTACCTGATATTCTAAGCTCTGGAAAGGAAATAGATGTCCACATGGAGAAGTATTGATAATTAACTGTAACATTTTGTCCAACATCTGTAACATTTTGTCCAACATAGTGTATGACAACAATCATAGTCATACTAATGACTACCCAACTTAAATTACATCCAATGTCAACATAAAAAGAGAAAAAAATATCCAGAGGGAGGATAATACCTTCCATCAAGTGCACGATGAATGTTGAGGAACTCAAACGGAACTTTACACTGAGGGCAAGTTGGTTGCTTTTTGCAAGAGGCCCACCGCAAAATGCAAGTCACGCTGTAGAAAATGAGTTGATTACGAATAATATGGGCGTGACTCTTACAAACAAGCTCCAGTATCAAAAACAAGAATCAACAAATCAAATCAATATAAACATGTTAGGTAGGTCACAATAACTCGCTCACCCACATTTCACTAACAAATTTAACTGTTCAATATAAGAACAGCCTGTCAACCGCCAGAAAGTCATTGCATTCATTCTTTATGACTAACCATTTTTCTTACATTGTCATAACTTTTCGTACATGATATAGGGGTGCACAGATAGCTACCGACATCAACTTAAAAGGTACAAGACAGTTATCGTTATTTGTTCGATTTATCAACCAAACTACACAACAATCTTGAATATTAATTGAAGAGAGATATCTACACATCTAAATAGACATCAATTAAAAGGAGGTACATGTCATTCCATTACCAATGTGGTTCAAGGATGTAAAATGCAGAAAAAATAACTGAAGTGATAGTGAATAGAGGTAATAAAAATGTTGACTACAATCAGGTTTAGTAATGATCTATCGTATATTGTTTCTTGTGCAGTTGTGCGAAACAAAAGAAGCTAAGAAATGAGTATAGAAAAAAAAAAATACGAAAAATTTGTTGCCATAAGAATAAAGTTGAACAAGTCAAGGAATAAAATGAATGATGAAAATTCCCGCCAGCAGAAATAAATCAAACCAAGAAGACAGCTAAGTAGAACTATCTTTCTGTTTGAAAGTGCTGATCTCTATGACCGATTTGGACTGGCACACAAGCAAATTATTTTTCGATCAACCTGAACTATATAGCACTCCTCAAGAGCAGTTAGGCAGCAGGGAAAGCCAAATATGAGGAGTGAACATCCTACCTAAGAAAGTTACATCATTAAATCATAATCTCAAGCATGCAACCTTATTTTTTCTTTTAATCTTTAGATATGTCCAAAATTAAGTTCCGGCTAAAAATGAAATTCTAACATTTTTTCCACAGTAATTTCAGCATCTAGAATTTGCTAACAAATACGAAACTAATCAATTCCAAGACCATAGGCACTTCACAAGGAAACTCGAGCTGTAATAGTAAACTAATATGAACCAGTTTAACAGTCATCAATCGAAAAAAGGAATCCAAACACAAAATAGAGAAAGACATTCTCATGTTTCAACTAAAAGTTAATGGATATGCAACTGAGAACCAACAGTTTATACACCCACCTACTTCAAATAAGAGCTCGAAACGAAAAATACGAACATTCAAACATCCGAAATGGTAACCACTAAATAAATAGAGAACAGGACAAACCAGTATGCGTGCTCGCAACCTTTTACAAAAGCTGTTTCTTGAAGCACTATCCTATTCAAACAAATGGCACAAAACCCATGATGGCTATTTATGTCAGTTCGGTTAGTGTCGCAGCCGCCCAAGTTACTCTTCTCCTCTGCTGCTGCATTGGCCCCTTCCATGCCAGTCTGAAAACCAGAGTTCAATTCAGTTCACTTAAAAATGCACCAGATGGAAACTGTTGCACGGCGTAATCAAGAACCACAATAAAAAACACAAAGATCCAACATTTAAAAGCATTTTAAATCTGTTGGAAACGAAGCTGCATCCACTCGTAATAATTACTTTCATTTCTAACATTCGGTACATCGAGCAAACAATATCCATACATCAACTTCCTTGATAATAAATCGGCCAATTCTTCATCCAACTACATACCCAGATTCGTTCACACAATCAGATTCACGCCAAAACCAAATCAGCCAAACCTCAAAGGTAAATCCTATATTAATTTACGCAGAGAATAAATCAGCTAAAAAATTGAAGAATCTACGAAAAACGTGCTAATAACCTTGGCTTGGATGGCGAGATCCTGAAGATCCTCAACGAGCTCCGAGCCAACGACTTCAACTGAGGCAGACATGGTTGTTTTGTATCTGACTGAAGCAGCGAAAATCTACAAGCTAACAACGCTATATATATACAGAAAAGGGGGAAACTGAAAAGGAAAAAGAAAATGGAGAAGAAAAATAAAAAAAGCAAACAGATTCGGGAGGTTTATTCTGATTCCCAAAGCGACAAATGTGGTGAGCTGAGATATATGGATCAATTTACAATCGGTGAGACAAATCCGGTGTTTGACAGAACTTGTACCTATGCCTGTGTTAAGTTGTATGTGCGGGTTTCGTATTCGACCCGCTTTAGGTGTCGGTTCAAAGTAGACATGGCTAAAAGTTGGGCCGGGTCTTTTGGTGTCGGTTCAGAGTAGAAAACAATGACCCGGACCCAGCACGTACCTATACTCGTGCCGGGTCAAGGGCCCGATTGGTCGGGCCCGGATCCGTACCGGGTCGTGTCCGGGCCGGGTCCATCATTTTTAAAAAAACAAACAATAAAAAAAAATAAAAAAAAAGAAAAACGGGTCATCGACCTGGCCCGGCCAAGCCCGTCGAGCGGGCCATGAAATGGATGACCCTAACACGGCCCGTCGAAAATCTGGTCTTGTCCCGGACCCGTGGTCAACGTACGGGTTTGACCAGGCCGGGTCCGTGTCGGGTCGGCGGGCCGGGCAGCCCTTAGCCATTTCTAGTTCAGAATAAAGTGTGGCGTCAAATCAAAAGGGGTGTTCAACTTCAAGGCTCCAGCGATACATATATCATCTATTGCTAATTAATATACAAATAATGTAATTCATACGTTATCCTGACCTGG